TTACCTCACTCGTTTTAATGAGGAGGTCCTCCAAATCAAGGAGCCCAATGACAAAGTCACCACCATGATTGCCTTCCTAAGAGGCCTCTGCTCATTGAGTTTCCTCTTTTCAGTAATAAAACGACCACCAAAGAGTATGCCAGAATTATTGGCAAAAACTCAAAAATATATGAATGTTGAGGACATCAACTTGTCCAGAGGTGGTGAAACATCTCAACGGTCGCCACAATCTTGACCTACCTCTACTCTGATCTCAAGCAAGCAGCCTATCTCCAACTGCGCGGCTCTCTCGCGGATCGCCAAAAACTTGACCTCTTCTCTACTCTCAAGCAAGTAGCATATCCCCAGCTTAGCGGCTCTATCGCAAGTCGCCAAAAAAGTTTGGTCTATCTCTGTTTTGCTCTCAAGTAGGCAGTCTATCTCCAGCTTAGCGGGTCACCAAAAACTTAGTCTGCCTCTACTCTACTATACTCTTAAGTAAGCAGCCTATACCTCAAGTTTAAGAACTCTCTCATGGTCAGCAAAAGTTCGATCTCAAAAGGTGTAGCTCTCTCACGAGCAATTCTCAAACTCTATCTTTTTTCTCACGCAAACAACCTACCCCTCTCTCCAGATTAAATGTCAATAATCAAACCTCTACCTTTATGTGCCCATCCGGCACTGTCGCCTCGTTGTCATAGCTCTCCAACGCCTAACACCTAGCACAAACAAGGCCTGATTGTGCCAAGAACCCATGGCTAACTGCGCTATGCCCAATGCCTCGCCAGGCTCATCCAGCGCAATAGCTCCTCTAGTGCAGTGTAGTAGCCCTTCTGCGCGCCCAACCAATGCAATAACCCCTCTTGTGCGCCAGACAACGCAGCTACTCTCCTGTGCGCACGGCCAGCTCGCCCACTAACACCGCTGCACGGTTCACCTCCCGACACCCAAGCATTGGCGCCCAACATGCCATCTCGCCAAGTAGAGCTCGCCCACGGGGGACCCTCCTCAGTAGAGCTCGCCCATAAAGACCTCTACCCAGTGGAGCTAAACCAAGGGAGCTTGCCAGGTTCCTTGCTCGCTCAAAGCTCCATCCTCGCCAAAACTCTTCAAAGCTTGCCTAATTGGCTGCACCGGCGCGCTTGCACCACCATCGGTGCCCAGCCTAGCCGCCTCACGCCCATCTCGCCCACCTCTATAGCCTGCTCGCCCAACTCGCCTAGGACATCCAAAGGACCGCCCATCTCCGTGGCCTAGGCGCCCAATTCTAGGCTCTCCTAGGTAGCCCCCTAAACTTTTTGAGTTGTTGGCCCATCCATCAGGAGTGTAGCAGCACACGCCCAAGCTGCACGCCAAAAGGAGCTCAGCTCCCTTCCAGCGTCGGTGCCCCCTTCATGGTCATCAAGAAGCGACCCAGACACCCTACCCTTAGCAGCGGCACCCATAGTGATGTGGGCTTCGGCGCCTCCTTCTCCTCCTTCGATAACTTGCATCCGTTATTCCTCAATCGACATGGCCTTTGAAAATGCTCAAACTCAAGAAGCTCCTTGAAGGATTTTGGGGAATAAAGCTCTCATCTTCTCTCAAGATTGAATGGAATGGGTGGAATGGGAAAGAAGCTCCCTATTTATACCTAGGGTTTTTTAAAATCCTATTGAAGGAAGGAAAAGACAAAAAAAAACCCCCCAAATTACAACCTAGGGCTCTTCAAGAATCCAAAAAAGGAAAGGAATGAGGGAGTTTGTATAGTCAATGGAGTCCTACAAGTAAAAGGAGCCCGCTGGAAGGGAGGAGGTCGCCGAACAAGAAGAGTTTTCAAAAAATTCGGATTTAAAAAGGGTTCCACGCTATTTTGACAGTAACTTTTGATCTGAAATTCTAAACGAGGCTTATTATATATCAAATCAAATCTTTCGACGAGCCCTACAAAACTCACTGCCTTTGTCAATGAAAGACACTATAAAAGGTCCAAAAAGGGGTCAAAAACAGCTGTTTTGGCCTTTCATTTTTTTTTAAAAAAAATCAACTACCTGCTCGCCTAGGACACTACCTACTCGCCCAGAAGCTACCTACTTAGCCAAAACCGTGCACCTAGCTCCATACTTGCTATTTTGACCTTAACTTTTGTTCCGTTACTTCAAATGGGCCCCATAATATATCAAATCAAATGTCTTGGCGAGTCCTACAAGACTCGGAGCTAAACGCTATTAAAATTCTAAAAAAAGGTCTAGAAGCACATGTTTTGGCCTCTTGAAGTTTTTTCAGTTATGTCGGTCAACCAAAAATTCAAATTCAAACTGAATGTCCTCTTTTTCAAGTTTCGTTAGTCGCAGGGCACTGGGGGACAAATGATGGGTCAAGTCCAAGAGTCTCCTTCTAGCCACCTTGGAGTAAGAGTCATTTAAGAGTCTCCTCCTAGCCACCTCAGAGTAAGGGTCATCCAAGAGCCTCCTCTTAAGCCACCTTAGAGTAAGGGTCATCCAAGTGCCTCCTCCTAACCGTCTTAGAGTAAGGGTCACCCAAGAGCCTCATCCTCGTTGCGTTGGAGAAAGTCAACTCTCACCTCATCCTTTGACCGAGTCTTATGGAGAGTATTGTAACTACCTCGCTCGTTGAGAAGAGGTCGCCACCTCCACCTCCGCCAGATTAGCTATTTAATTACTCTTAAATCATCCTAATCCGTTATGATCGCTAGACTAGCTATTCAATTACTATGCGTTATGAGACAACTATAAATTATAAGTCCCGCCAACATTTGGGGGTATCATCATACTTAGTCGAGCCCAACTCTCCTCTCATTCTCTAAATTTGTAACTCTTTACTCTCCCTAAGCACTTTAGTTAATAAAATATCTGACGACCCTTGCCATTCAAAGTAGACGTAGGTCACGTTAATCGAACCACTATAAACCTTATCTTCTCTCCCTTTACTTATTTACTACATTTTGTGATGCTTACTTGACAGGTGGCGTGCAAATCAATTTGTACATCATTAACATTTTTTAAGATATTAAAAAATATAACATTGTCATTTTCCCTCCATTTTTATTGCTATGTTTATCCCCAACTTTCATGCAAGCAATTTATTCTAATATAGGTAAAAGTCTAGATACTACATCTATCAAGTTCTTCACCAAAAATAATGAATAAAGGACAACCAAAACAAAGGAGCCCTCTTTAGAATTTTGGGAGTACGTAGTGATCTGCATCACTCAAAAGTTTAGTTACCTTGGTTTAATTTGTATTTTTACTTTTATAGTAGTGCAAAAATATTCTAATCTCTAAGGGTGTAGTAAAGTTTAAAATTATCTAAACTTTCAATTTGTGAGTATTATATTTGATGGTGTGGAAAATTTGCGACTATAATGCAAGGTAGAAATTAAGTTGAAGAGCTTTCCGATAACAAGGCAAGTATATGATTGGGAATTGCTTGAACTGAGAGCTCAAGAACCAAGTAGAAGATGAGGGTATTTCTTTTGTGTGTGAAGTGAATATCGTGATCAAGAACACAATAAATTCAATGGTTCACCTAACTGAAGACTTTGACTAATTCACTTTAATAGAGTCTCTTACTCACTAGTTTGTATTGCTTGGAGAAGACGATTGTTACATCTTTTCTTGGGTGTGTATACAATTGCTCACTTGTCCTATTCAGAGTTAGGGTTAGCCTACTCATACTAGTTGGTAGAGTGGTCCTTCTGTCACCATGGGGTGGTCCCCTCTAGTTTGTTAGGATAGTGAAGGAAATATTTGACTGTCAGATGCTACATTCCCCTAGGTAGAAGGTGATGATGTGGCTTTTGACGACTCTATCTTCTGGTGGTGACTGATGTTGGACATTCTTCTTTGTTCTCCTTCTTGGAGTGGTCTGAATAGCAACCTCTTGACTGCTCTTGCCTGTTTATGACTAAGTCGGGTCGAGCTGTGTCTGAGCTGGACCATTCTATCCTCGTGTTGATTAATCAAGACCTTTGTCCTATTGGCTGACGATCCTCTTGTTGAGCTATGGTTCTGCTCCTTGATGTGCTCTTGATTTTGGTATCATTAGTTGCCCCCCAGTCTCGAGCTTGAGCTACCTTGTTTGGTCGTTGGTTGGGTCTCACCTTTTCACTTATGTTGAAGAGGTTATTCTACTTTTTCGTGTCTACTCCTGGGATTACGGGTAACGAAGTAGACGTGATGGGATGATTGTCTTGTTTTATTGTTGCAATACAGATATGGAATACACAATGCTATTTTTTCCTTTTGATATGTGTAAACCCCACCCTTTTGTCTTTATATATGTATGTAGGTTTAAGTAGCAATTATTATTTCTTTGAAATGTTAATATGGAAAAATTTGAGGAAATAGTAGTTAAAAATCTAGTTTAGCTTGCAAATATATGAAATCGTGGTAATAGAATTGGTACCAACTAGGATTGATGTACAAAATCATGTTGAATAAGCTTGGGATGGAATTGAAAGGGTTTGAAATAAAAAATAGAGGAAATAGAAAAATTTGGACAGGACCTACCGGTAGTACGTTGTCCTGTGGATCTGAACTACCGTTAGTCAACAGGTAGTAAATGTCTAGTGGATTCGAACTACCGGTAGTCAACAGGTAGTAAGTGGCTAGTGGATCCGAATTACCGGTAGTCAACAGGTAGTAAAGGTCCAGTAGATCCGAACTACCGGTAGCTCAACAGGTAGTAAGTTTCCAGTGGATCCGAACTACTGGTAGCTCGATATGAATTACCGGTAGACCGTTAAAAAATCAGAATTTTTATGTTTTAAAACCCAATTTTCACTCCATTTGCTCTCATTCTTTCACACCACTCTCATCCCACACCTCTTAGAACCCTAATAGAAAGACTTAGAGAGGAAGAAAGAAAAGAGAAACAAGAGTTTTAAGGGTGATTCAAGATCAAATCTTCTTGTCCTCCACACTAAAACCAAGGAGAAAGGTAGAGGNGGCCTAGGCGCCCAATTCTAGGCTCTCCTAGGTAGCCCCCTAAACTTTTTGAGTTGTTGGCCCATCCATCAGGAGTGTAGCAGCACACGCCCAAGCTGCACGCCAAAAGGAGCTCAGCTCCCTTCCAGCGTCGGTGCCCCCTTCATGGTCATCAAGAAGCGACCCAGACACCCTACCCTTAGCAGCGGCACCCATAGTGATGTGGGCTTCGGCGCCTCCTTCTCCTCCTTCGATAACTTGCATCCGTTATTCCTCAATCGACATGGCCTTTGAAAATGCTCAAACTCAAGAAGCTCCTTGAAGGATTTTGGGGAATAAAGCTCTCATCTTCTCTCAAGATTGAATGGAATGGGTGGAATGGGAAAGAAGCTCCCTATTTATACCTAGGGTTTTTTAAAATCCTATTGAAGGAAGGAAAAGACAAAAAAAAACCCCCCAAATTACAACCTAGGGCTCTTCAAGAATCCAAAAAAGGAAAGGAATGAGGGAGTTTGTATAGTCAATGGAGTCCTACAAGTAAAAGGAGCCCACTGGAAGGGAGGAGGTCGCCGAACAAGAAGAGTTTTCAAAAAATTCGGATTTAAAAAGGGTTCCACGCTATTTTGACAGTAACTTTTGATCTGAAATTCTAAACGAGGCTTATTATATATCAAATCAAATCTTTCGACGAGCCCTACAAAACTCACTGCCTTTGTCAATGAAAGACACTATAAAAGGTCCAAAAAGGGGTCAAAAACAGCTGTTTTGGCCTTTCATTTTTTTTAAAAAAAAATCAACTACCTGCTCGCCTAGGACACTACCTACTCGCCCAGAAGCTACCTGCTTAGCCAAAACCGTGCACCTAGCTCCATACTTGCTATTTTGACCTTAACTTTTGTTCCGTTACTTCAAATGGGGCCCATAATATATCAAATCAAATGTCTTGGCGAGTCCTACAAGACTCGGAGCTAAACGTTATTAAAATTCTANGGGCCCCATAATATATCAAATCAAATGTCTTGGCGAGTCCTACAAGACTCGGAGCTAAACGCTATTAAAATTCTAAAAAAAGGTCTAGAAGCACATGTTTTGGCCTCTTGAAGTTTTTTCAGTTATGTCGGTCAACCAAAAATTCAAATTCAAACTGAATGTCCTCTTTTTCAAGTTTCGTTAGTCGCAGGGCACTGGGGGACAAATGATGGGTCAAGTCCAAGAGTCTCCTTCTAGCCACCTTGGAGTAAGAGTCATTTAAGAGTCTCCTCCTAGCCACCTCAGAGTAAGGGTCATCCAAGAGCCTCCTCTTAAGCCACCTTAGAGTAAGGGTCATCCAAGTGCCTCCTCCTAACCGTCTTAGAGTAAGGGTCACCCAAGAGCCTCATCCTCGCTNAGTCGCAGGGCACTGGGGGACAAATGATGGGTCAAGTCCAAGAGTCTCCTTCTAGCCACCTTGGAGTAAGAGTCATTTAAGAGTCTCCTCCTAGCCACCTCAAAGTAAGGGTCATCCAAGAGCCTCCTCTTAAGCCACCTTAGAGTAAGGGTCATCCAAGTGCCTCCTCCTAACCGTCCTAGAGTAAGGGTCACCCAAGAGCCTCATCCTCGCTGCGTTGGAGAAAGTCAACTCTCACCTCATCCTTTGACCGAGTCTTATGGAGAGTATTGTAACTACCTCGCTCGTTGAGAAGAGGTCGCCACCTCCACCTCCGCCAGATTAGCTATTTAATTACTCTTAAATCATCCTAATCCGTTATGACCGCCAGACTAGCTATTCAATTATTATGGGNAAAGACATATATCACTCAAAACACCACTCATTTTCACAAATAAGTTTATAAATGAAAAGACATTTATAATTCAAAATACTCACACACACATTCAGTCACCACTAGCATGGTAATTGACCTCATCTTTTGTCACAACTAGTTNCCACCTCCGCCAGATTAGCTATTTAATTACTCTTAAATCATCCTAATCCGTTATGATCGCTAGACTAGCTATTCAATTACTATGCGTTATGAGACAACTATAAATTATAAGTCCCGCCAACATTTGGGGGTATCATCATACTTAGTCGAGCCCAACTCTCCTCTCATTCTCTAAATTTGTAACTCTTTACTCTCCCTAAGCACTTTAGTTAATAAAATATCTGACGACCCTTGCCATTCAAAGTAGATGTAGGTCACGTTAACCGAACCACTATAAACCTTATCTTCTCTCCCTTTACTTATTTACTACATTTTGTGATGCTTACTTGACAGGTGGCGTGCAAATCAATTTGTACATCATTAACATTTTTTAAGATATTAAAAAATATAACATTGTCATTTTCCCTCCATTTTTATTGCTATGTTTATCCCCAACTTTCATGCAAGCAATTTATTCTAATATAGGTAAAAGTCTAGATACTACATCTATCAAGTTCTTCACCAAAAATAATGAATAAAGGACAACCAAAACAAAGGAGCCCTCTTTAGAATTTTGGGAGTACGTAGTGATCTGCATCACTCAAAAGTTTAGTTACCTTGGTTTAATTTGTATTTTTACTTTTATAGTAGTGCAAAAATATTCTAATCTCTAAGGGTGTAGTAAAGTTTAAAATTATCTAAACTTTCAATTTGTGAGTATTATATTTGATGGTGTGGAAAATTTGCGACTATAATGCAAGGTAGAAATTAAGTTGAAGAGCTTTCCGATAACAAGGCAAGTATATGATTGGGAATTGCTTGAACTGAGAGCTCAAGAACCAAGTAGAAGATGAGGGTATTTCTTTTGTGTGTGAAGTGAATATCGTGATCAAGAACACAATAAATTCAATGGTTCACCTAACTGAAGACTTTGACTAATTCACTTTAATAGAGTCTCTTACTCACTAGTTTGTATTGCTTGGAGAAGACGATTGTTACATCTTTTCTTGGGTGTGTATACAATTGCTCACTTGTCCTATTCAGAGTTAGGGTTAGCCTACTCATACTAGTTGGTAGAGTGGTCCTTCTGTCACCATGGGGTGGTCCCCTCTAGTTTGTTAGGATAGTGAAGGAAATATTTGACTGTCAGATGCTACATTCCCCTAGGTAGAAGGTGATGATGTGGCTTTTGACGACTCTATCTTCTGGTGGTGACTGATGTTGGACATTCTTCTTTGTTCTCCTTCTTGGAGTGGTCTGAATAGCAACCTCTTGACTGCTCTTGCCTGTTTATGACTAAGTCGGGTCGAGCTGTGTCTGAGCTGGACCATTCTATCCTCGTGTTGATTAATCAAGACCTTTGTCCTATTGGCTGACGATCCTCTTGTTGAGCTATGGTTCTGCTCCTTGATGTGCTCTTGATTTTGGTATCATTAGTTGCCCCCCAGTCTCGAGCTTGAGCTACCTTGTTTGGTCGTTGGTTGGGTCTCACCTTTTCACTTATGTTGAAGAGGTTATTCTACTTTTTCGTGTCTACTCCTGGGATTACGGGTAACGAAGTAGACGTGATGGGATGATTGTCTTGTTTTATTGTTGCAATACAGATATGGAATACACAATGCTATTTTTTCCTTTTGATATGTGTAAACCCCACCCTTTTGTCTTTATATATGTATGTAGGTTTAAGTAGCAATTATTATTTCTTTGAAATGTTAATATGGAAAAATTTGAGGAAATAGTAGTTAAAAATCTAGTTTAGCTTGCAAATATATGAAATCGTGGTAATAGAATTGGTACCAACTAGGATTGATGTACAAAATCATGTTGAATAAGCTTGGGATGGAATTGAAAGGGTTTGAAATAAAAAATAGAGGAAATAGAAAAATTTGGACAGGACCTACCGGTAGTACGTTGTCCTGTGGATCTGAACTACCGTTAGTCAACAGGTAGTAAATGTCTAGTGGATTCGAACTACCGGTAGTCAACAGGTAGTAAGTGGCTAGTGGATCCGAATTACCGGTAGTCAACAGGTAGTAAAGGTCCAGTAGATCCGAACTACCGGTAGCTCAACAGGTAGTAAGTTTCCAGTGGATCCGAACTACTGGTAGCTCGATATGAATTACCGGTAGACCGTTAAAAAATCAGAATTTTTATGTTTTAAAACCCAATTTTCACTCCATTTGCTCTCATTCTTTCACACCACTCTCATCCCACACCTCTTAGAACCCTAATAGAAAGACTTAGAGAGGAAGAAAGAAAAGAGAAACAAGAGTTTTAAGGGTGATTCAAGATCAAATCTTCTTGTCCTCCACACTAAAACCAAGGAGAAAGGTAGAGGTTTTCTTTCTATTCTCTTACATTGAGGCTAGAGCTTAATTATATGTATTCTTTTGACTTTAAATCTTATATATATGCTATGAAATCATCTTTCCTCGGCCTTTTACAATTATTAGTGTGTTTAAAACAAATTTAGGGTTGAATGCCCATGAAATCTCATTTTCTTGATATAAAACCCTAGTTTTCAAAAGAGATGGACTTTCTTCTTAATTCTTCCTTTGTTCTTGACTTTGAAACTTTAGTGCTTTATTTTGAGTACTAAGATGATATTGATAATGATCTCTTGCATTTTCCTCATATGTTCTATTGAAATACTACATGTGAAATTGAGGATTTATGGAATTGTTTGTTATTTGAAAAAATTATTGGTATTGTATCTCTTGTGTGGTTGTTGGATAAACATGAGCTACTATTGACTAGGTATCTTGGAGTGTGTAGACGTTTTCTTACTCCGTGTGGATTTGAACTTTTTTTACCACTCGTAGTGTGGTTAGTGCCTTGCAAGAACTAAACCATTATCGCTCACGGGATATCGTGGAAAAAAGGTTTAGTATCCTGCTCTTTGGTTGAATACGTCACTGCCATGGTGTTTGCAAACGCCCTTCCTAAATGTTGGATATCTTTGCGAGGATTTGTGTGGATTGTACGTAGGTTAAGATATTTTTGATGGTATTCATGCGAGATCTTACTTCAGACCAGAGATACGAATACAATGGTGGGTTATTGTTCATTGTACCAGAAATAATTTATACAAGAATTTTGAAAAGTATAAGATTCCGCAAGAAATTGGGAGAAACGATTTATGGTGGAATGAATTATTAGTTGTATATTGGTTTCACTTATGCATTAAATTACTACTATTACTTAAACTTGAGATTTGTTTAAATGTCCATGTTTTATTGTAAAATTCATATATGCTATTTGTGAAAGGTGACCGACCTTATTTATATGTTTTTCTAAACCTTGTTCGAGTTTAGGAGGAATATTGTTACAAAACTTAGTGCTCCCCCTTTACAAACTATACTTTTTAGATTGTGGTCTAGAAGAAGAGTTCAGGGTTGAGGAGCCGACACATTGAGAAGCT